TACAACTTTCATAAAAAAAGGTAAAATAATTCTCCGATAATTATCGATCTAAAACTTCGATAGTTTAGGCAATCAGAGGATTTAAGGTTGGAACCACATCCAACAGACACGGATATTGTCAAATAATTGTCGAAGTATTAGAATGATACAATGGGCAACACCTTTCTTTGATAATTATCCGATAACAATATCCCGCCTTCGCGGACTTTCGAGCATCATGGCCGGACTACACTACAGTTGGATTTCCAGTATCATTGATTAACCCACAGGACATCCTGGTTATATCAAGGTAGTGTCATGAATTTGTTTTCGCGTATCTGTTGACCGACTTAATTAGCTGATTATTAGCGAATTGCTGTGTTATGTCTGTCATCGTTTAGGCCTATTTGAAGTTTTGGACGGAACTTGGCTCAGTGATTTGGAACTAATTACGAGATAACCGTCGCTATTCTATCGATTCTGACAGTTGGTTTCCATAGTTATCAATGTAGTGAACGATTAATCAAAAGATATGACGTATTCAGTACTTAGTGTGATTGGCTTTATGATTGAAGGTTACGCCCTAGAGTCTTTTTACTGCTTTGTAATTGGTTAGAGTTGTGAAAATGAATAAAGAGTTTGAGTCCGTCTTGGCAAGTACTCTAGGATAGAGGGAGTCGAGTCCAGTCCTGGAGAGCCTTGGGGCGAGTGTTGACGCAGTCTAAGAGAGTCTTGGGTCAGCCTTGCGATAGTCTTGGGGATTTTTTCCCCAGGGCGCTGTGTCTTATAGAGTGCTCGATTGACCGACTAAGACGAGAGCTGAAACGTATTTCGTTGTGTGTGTCTTATTTGACTGTAAAGTATAAGTGACTTCCCCGATCCCGTACCTCAAGAGGACGCGATAGAGAGACGAGACGAGTTTCCCCCCTGACAAGTGTGGAGAACCCATCAGAGAAGAATTTTCCCCCTGACACGTTTTGGATGAACCCGGGCAGGTGTTTAACACACATTGACATCCAGTGAAGAAAAGTGAAATGGCGAAGGTGTGTCTTTCTTGTGAACCGAACTAACAGCTCCATGGCAGAGACGACTCAGAAACCGCGCTTGACGACTAACACCGCTGAAGAGATGAAGACTTCAGAACCCCTTCGAAAGGATGAGAATAGGACTGAATAATTAAGAATTGAGCGACATTAAAGACAAGAAGATGACAAAAAACGACCCGGAATAACGTGACAAGAGAAGAGACGTTTACAGACTTTGATTAGAACTTTAGCTATCTGTGTAATGCTTAGAGAACTGCTCGCTGGACACTGTAACTGACACTGTGTAACTCAAAGACGTTGAACTCTTTTTCACAATCCTAACACTATTGCTCAGTAATGTAATGTATTGCTTGCTTTTCCTATCTTTTTTCTTACCGGTTTTTTTGTGGTATTGAATTGTATGTGTGTAAGCACCCAGATTTTTGTTTTGAAATGATATTTAGTGACGTGCGAGGTCCTTTATAACGATTTAAGCTGTAAAGCGCGCCTCAGTGGACAAGTATTTGCAACACAGTGTTTTGAGTTTTGTGAAGTTTTATGGTGTTTTAATGAGTTTATGAGTATGGAATATGACGGGGAAAGTAATGCCCCAATGAGTTTTTAAGAGTTTTGAGATTTGTCGAGTACAGAGATATCGACGTTTTAAGAGTTGTTTTTGTTTATGTGTTGTTTCCGGAATACTTCTGATGCTTTTTGAATGGAGAGCACCTTTGTAACGTTTTTTAATGTCTTTTTGAGATAGGAGTATGGTGCGCTCATATACGTATTGTTTGATAACGCAAGCTTTTGTTCATAATTGACAGGATTATATGTAACTCAGTAGTTTCTATCGTTTTAGTCTTTTTCCCCGTCTTTTTGCCAGAGGAGTAATGTGTTATGAAAGCGACATTGTCTTTGCATTCTGTTTCCACGCCGTATGACTTGTGTTTAGATTAACGACTTTTGAGTTCAGTTGAAGTTTATAACCGTATATGACAGGAGTTTGATTAACAGCTTTTTATTCATTGTTTATTAGTTACCGCTTTGCAATGCTTTAACCGAGAAACGCATCCCTGGTAATCACGTGATCATGCTGTCGACTGCAGCGATTTGCAGATTGCATGGTTACACTACCACGCCTTAGTTTTTTTTGACCTTTTGATATAGAGTTTGTAACCTTAGTAATGGAGACAGTGCAGCGAAGGGTTACCCTTGGCGGACCGTTTGAGAAAAGCGAGTCGAATGGTAGCCTTTCCCTTGTTTTATTTGTGACTTTACAACCATTGTATTTAGACTTTATAATCATTGTACTTAATTAGTGTGTTTTACTCTAATTGATTTATACCTTTTATTAGTATTGTATTTAACCCTATGACGATGAGTAGGGGACGGTATCTTTGATTTGTGAACGTGTTATGCCAGGAGGCACAATCTCAGTTTGGGTGAAGGGATGTGTCATGAATTTGTTTTCGCGTATCCGTTGACCGACTTAATTAGCTGATTATTAGCGAATTGCTGTGTTATGTCTGTCATCGTTTAGGCCTATTGAAGTTTTGGACTGA